GGTTCACTGCGCTAATGTCCAAAAGATTTATGACCATCTGACTTGAGGTACACACATTGTGCTATTTTTGAAGAAGCAGCTTGAGTCTTTTAAGCATGAACTTCCCCTGTGTTTGGAATCATTTGCTGGGAAATTCAAGTATTTTCTAATACATTTAATTTGTTATTGATTTCATCTTTACATCTGGTTTTTTCTGGAGGTACGGAGGATTAACAGTAAACAGTGAAAACGATCAATGTGGACACAAAGGAAATGATCGTGTTACCTTATTTGACATAAATTTGGATTTTATTGTTATTTTTCTGACCATTTGAGAAACGAAAATGCCTTTGGTGCTTGATGTAATTAAGTTCAAATTACTCAAACTGGTGCCTTTACTGATGCCGACAAACAAATGAAGCCAATCTTGTGAAATGTGAGGTCCAAGTTGATTATATGTGTCATAAAGCCTCATGTATTTCTTATTTCTAACATACGCTGAGAGGATAATGAAAGAAAAATAAAAATGTATTATTGTTACAGTAGAAAATCCATCTGCACATTATTGTTCTTCTTTCATCTTTCACTCTGAGTCTCCTCTATAGCACCAGCTCAGTGGCTGCTAATTACTGTGTGTAAATAAAAAAAATAAAGTGTTTACTTCCTGTACTTTTTAATGTACAGGAGTGTCTAGGTGTGTGAATGTGTGTGTCACTTCATTAGTGAAATAACAGGGGAAGAGTGCAGGAGGTTGTCTTTCAGAAGTCAGCGCTGCATGCAATGTTTATCCACCACACATTGAGCCGTGTTGACCAGAAAGCCCCACCGGGGCCATTGGACCAGCTGGTGTAATACTGGCATACACACAGTGCTAAACACCAGCACTTCTCTCCCCTCACACCCGGACAAACACACCGCAAACACACACTGTTATCGCCGTGCATACATCATCCAATGGCAGCCCCTCCATTTCACTCCTCTCCTCCACCTTACGCCTCATCAGACATATTATAATTAGCTGTGCTGAGTAATTAACACCCAAATTAGGACATTATTTGCATATCTACCCTCATTTGCATATACTCTCTGCAGGAGTCAGACCGAGCATTCCTTCACACGTTGGTGCTCAGGACATTTTTAAGTCAATACCTAACCGTTACTGCGCACAGCAAACATATTGTACCTTCTCATTTAGAAAACATGATTGCAAAGCAGAGAGGTGAAAAGTTGAGGGGGAAATAAAAGAGCAGAAGTCAAATCTGTGCAAGCTACAGGAAAGAGAGCAAATAGAAATGGGACCGAGGAGGTGGCCAGTAATAGAGGTAGCCGGGATAGAGTGAGAATGCGACACACGCCAAATGAGAAAAGGCAAAGTAAGACAGAAAGAAGACTGCCTCTTCATTTATACATCTCACTTGAGCCCATAAACCTTTGGAATTGAATCCTGGCTATGAAAGAGAGAGAGAGAGAGAGAGAGAGAGAGAAAGAGTGAGGGAGCAGCGCTACCTCTGGAAATCATAACGAAGGCTGCTCAAGCATGGAAAAAAGAAGCGAGACGGAGAATGACGAAACACTTCTCTCTCTCTGTGACATTTGCCCTCTGAATCGCATCAGCTCAGCGGAGCAGAACAGCGAAGAGTGATACAGAGTCAAAGGAAGAAAGAGAGAGGCTGGCAGAGAAAACACAACCGGGAAGAAACAGGGGGAATTAAAGGGAATAGAATGGGCATGAATGACAGTAAAGAGGAAAAGAGCGACAGGATGGGCAGAGCACTTCCCACTAGTCATTGTTTCACCAGTCGTTGCACAGAAGAGGAAAACCTGAGTTATGCTTCTGCGTTCCCCATCGCTTTCACGATTTATGTTCTGGCGGGGATAATGCAGCTGGATGGCTCTGTTGAAAAGACACCCATAAATCTGGTCTTGTTTTCAATTTCTTCCTGCCGTTCTCTCCCTCTCTCTCTCTCCCAGCACCCTTCAGATTCTCTTGGCGCTCATCTGCTCTGGTCTATTTTCCCCGACTTCTTATGTAAAGGTATTCAGCAGAAAGCCTTTGTTTCATGTATATAATGTGTTCTGCTGAGCTTGTAAAGCTTGGAAATACAAAGAAGCTGCACAGACGCACAAGAATGCAAGAGAAAAATCGCTCTTTGTCTGTTTAAACAACAAGCAGACATCCAACCAGCACTCTCAGTCCCTGATCTATTCTTTTTCAAAACGGTACTTCACAATACAACGCCTTGTCAAGTGTTAGGACATCGCATTGACATTTAGAGACCACTTTTAAAGGCATTTCAGCTGTTGCATTAAATGTTTAGTAGACAATATTTGGCCTTCAGTCACTGTGCACTGCATTGAGGTCGGGCAATATTACTGTGATTGTCAAAGATTCATATTTTAATACCAAACATGCGCCGCTATAACTTATGATAACAGCGACTGGAGCAGGCAAGAAACTGAACTGAGAAAAATGCCAAGCCCCGGTGGGAATGTGGGACTCTTAAAAGAGAAAAATGGGAATATTTTGCTAGAAGGTCTAATGATACAGATGAGTCAGCCAAAGAGAGGTATAGAGCAGTGCACAATAAAACCGAGGTATGCTATACCTATATTAGCTAGCCAAAGGATGATATATTACTTTCTGGTTCTACACTTGAATAGCTTTTTTTTTTTTTAATATAAATGCATTTTCTTTTATGTACATCATGGTTTCTTTGCTGGGACCAAAGTCAGATGATGAACTGGAACTGTTACTGAAAGTATACGTAGAGGACAGATTTTCGGGGCTTGGAAAGAAAATATCATGACATATTAAAGCTGTATGGGGAATATTATCCACTGCCAGAAAAAAACATGACAATGTGGAAAAAAATACCCAGACAAAAAGAAAAAAATACGGATATTTGCTTCATCTTTCAAAACCTCTTAGTTTCTGCAAATCCAGCCTAAAACCAAATCCGGGAGTGTTTTCTTTGCGTTGTGTCATAAGCATTTTCAAAACTTCCACTAGGCATAAACTTACACTATGTACACAAAAACACTGGGCCACCTACACGTTGCCCCTCCAGGAGCTGCCCGGCCATGGAAACCCCTGCCGCAAAGCTCCCGGCACACAGTTTTTGTGCTGATATTAATGCCAGAGGAGGTTTGTAACTCTGTAGTTATTGATTCAGCAGAGCGTTGGTGACTTTTACAGATTCTGCTCCTCAGCACTTGATGATCTTGCACTGTAACTTTCCATTGTCTGCCATTTCATTGCTGAGTTGCTGTTGAGTTTCTGTGGTTCCTAAACACTTTCACTTTGCAATAATACCACTAACAGCTGCTTGTGGAATATCTAGAGGGAAGAGATATCACAAACTAACTTGTAACATTGGGCTGTTGTTACTCTTATCAAACTTAATGAGCTCTCTAGGACAACCCATTCTTTCACAATTTGATGAGAAATTTGATGTACGTGATTTTTCACACCTGCAGCAAAGGGACTGAAAACACCTGAATTCAAAGACTAAGAGCTTTTGTCCATATAATGCAGCAAAAGCTACACGGGTTGATATTAAAATGTATTTGTGTGGACATTCCCTAAGATAAAATTTACTGATTATAGATTCTTGCTCACACGAGTGTCTGTTCCATTGTCTACTTTGCATTGAAGATTTGTTGGCAGAAGTGTGCAATAAAGTGATATGAACCGCTGACACTTCACTTCCCAAAGGTTCAAGATTGTGTGACAACAACTTCTCCTTTCAAACCTTTTTTTCCTCACATGCATTTCTGAAATTATGGTGTTAAAGCATGAAAAAAAGAAAAGAGAGCTACGACCCAAGCATGCACTGCATAGTCACCACTGACTCTGGATTTACTATATACGTAGCAATCAAAGCCGAGTTCACACATTTTACACTCACCTTTGAAAACTTAATGAGTCTTTGAACTCTCTACAGAAAACAGTCAATTCTCTCAACTTAATCTAAAGCTAGTTAGCTTTCCCTCTGGCTCCAGGCCATATGGAGGTCTTTTATAAACAAGAAAAATAATGATAATGTTTGGTTGAGCGCAGACAGCCAGTCAGCCCAGCACTCTGACTCCAGAGACCCAATTAATACAACTGTAAACCAATGCTGCCCTTCATAGGCAACAACAGCCAGAGCTGTGTGTGTGAGAGAGAGAGAGAGAGAGAGAGAGGGAGAGAGAGAGTGTGTAACCGCGCCTTGCAAGTCTGCACAAACAGCGCAGGCCTGAAACAGGAAAGGTGACATTTTTGAGTAACAACTGGCGAGATCCGACTTCAGACTGTACTGTCTGTACCTGTCCTGTGTGCTAGCCAGCTCA